AAAAAAAAAAAAAAAAAAAAAAAAAACCTTAAAGAAAAATGCTGTGCCATTGCTATATAACTGAGCTCCAACCCTGCTGGTTTTAAAAGTGAAAATGTTCAGGGAAATTTAGGCATTGATGTGAATGTCTCAAGTTTTAAATTATAATGCAATACGTGTTCCTTATTGTTGATGAGTTTAACTTGGAAAAACTGATTAAAAAGTCCCCTAAATGGGTTCTTTGTCATTTTAGCAATGAATGTTCTTTCTAGAATCTTTAGAACCTACGTCAGGCTTGTAATTAAGTACTATGTTCAGCTTCACATTTCCCTTTTGCCATTGTGGGAAGTAAAATTTTAAGTTGTTTCTTACCTCCCGTGAGAATTTTTAAAATCATCCATAGATAAGACCGTCTTTTTAATGAGGAAATGTAGTCCCATAAATAAAACTGTTATCTTAAATTGGATTAAGTAGATATGAAATATACTTCAGATTTACTAGTTTTTCTTCTGTTACTCATCTTGTGTTGGCTCAAATTCAGTACTATATTTTAAAATATTGGTTAAAATAGGTACACCTTAAAATATTTTCTAGAATGTCTACGCTAGCATTGTTTTAAATTTTATCAGACTGATGGTACCACCTTGTATTTTAGCAAATGTTTTACATGTTGACAAAACTTTCTTAAAAAGTCACTTTTCTTAAGTACAATGATTTTGTAAAATACAGTATGATAATGCAACATTAAGAAAAACGTGTTCGAACTCATATTTAATGTACCCAACAAAATCTTACATCATATTTATTTCTTAATTAACATAACTTCAGTGATATACTTGGTAGGATATTTCAAGCCTTTCTGTCTTTTACACAATGGTGCTCTATCCTATTGTTTTCTTTCAAAGCAGCATCTGAACATTTGCATTTTCTTATCCAAAGGCATCTATGTCAAAGGCATCTATGTCAACTGTCTTTAAAGTTGATTAAAATAATTTGTTAAAGAATTTTGAAAATGTTTTTCTTCACCTAGATGTATCTACACACTTGTGGCCAATTGACTATGAATGTCAGTAGTATGTTTAATTTTGGAAAAGGTAAACTTGCTAGATTAAAGCCTCTTATAAAAGCTTTAAACTATACAACTGTGGACTTGTGACATGATTTAACAGTATTCATTGATCTTTCTTACAGTGATTTATTCCTTTATTTGTATAGTTGCTTTGTGAAATAATGTGTTGTGAATTGATATTGTAATCAATAAAAGTGCTTTTAACCAGAGTTCTCTATATGTTTTAAGTCAAATTTTAGGATTTAAAAAATTTAAGACCCAGAACTAAACTTCAAATCCAGCATTTCATACTCAGCCCTAAATTCTTTAACTAAGCAACAGGAGAAACAATAGAATACCACAGAGAGAAGGTCAACAAAATAGAAGATTGAGAGGGAGAAGGAAAGAAAGAGGAGGAAATGTGGAACAGAAGTACAGTCTGCATGTATAAACAGACCACAGTGAATGCTATCTTTATATCTATTTACAAAACAAAATAAATTTTAAAATAATATTTTGAGAGAATTTCTATATATATATTTATTTTTAGTTTTTGGTGGACATAACATCTTTGTTTGTATGTGGTGCTGAGGATCAAACCCGGGCCGCATGCATGCCAGGTGAGCACGCTACCGCTTGAGCCACATCCCCATCCCTTAAAATAATTTTAATAGCATTTTTTTTCCTCATGAAAAATGAATAGAGGCTGGAGTTGTAGCTCAGTGGCAGTGCATGTGAGGCATTGGGTTCAAACCTCAGCACTACATAAAAATATTGTGTCCATCTACAATAACAACAACAAAAAAAAAAGGAAAAGTGTCCACCAGGTGTCATAGCCAACTTTAAAAAAATCAACAGGCTGCAGAAGCAAGGAATAGTGCTACTCACGTACCCTTTAACATTGTAAACTTCTAGCTTATTGTTCAAAGGCCACAGATTATCATTAAAGAGCAAAAGTCATTGTTTCCCCTAGAACTCCTTCCATGATAATTCTATTTTGTATAATTTTTATATAATCAATTCTACTCATAGTACTGATTAAAACATGTTTTTTACTTTCATCTCATCACAGCTTTAAGGGAAGATTACTGAGAAAATTGAGAATGTTATATTAGTTCTGCTTGTCCAGGGAATAATACTAAGTACCTGTAAATTGCACATCCCATATGGAAAAAACCCTCAAAATATGCCCCCAGTGGTGGTCTATGACATCTTACTCACCTTTTCAGTATCTGGCCAGTGGAACTAAACAGTAATGCAATCATAAGTGCCAGTCACTGCAAGATAATCTTGTATGTCTACCATGATTAAAAATGATTAAGAATGAAAGAGTAACTCTCACTAAATACTAGTATAAATGCTACACTTATCAGCTATCTGGCAAACAGGTTTTATTTTCACCTTACAAGATTGCACACTCATAAAAATGTTTTGTAAGAAGTTTAAGATTATACAAAGTTTATAAATAATCCTGCAAACACACAAATAATCAAGTAAAGGTGTAATAACTGAACTATACCAGTCATAATTACTTAACTTTTAATTCACGGTCTTGTCATCAATGCACTTATATCTAAGCATAAGAGTTCTTTTTCTTTATTTTAGTGTTTCATTTCCAAGTCATACATTTTCAAACTTGATTAGGTGAAACTACATTCAAACTAGTGATGGGAAAACTTACTATACCAGAACAATATACCAGTGGTTCCCAAACTTTATTGTAAACATCAGTATCACCTGGAGGGCTTGTTAAAATAATTGCTGGGTTACTAGAGTGATACAGCCATCAGTTTATACCATCATCACAATTCACAACAGGCAAGATAGGAAATCAGCCCAGGTGCTCTTCAATAGATGAAATGGTTAAAGAAAATGCGGTATATACACACAATGGAGTTTTATTCAGCCATGAAGAATGAAATTATGGCATTTGTCAGTAAATGGATATAACTGAAGAACAATATGCTTATTTCATAATAAGCCAGACTGAAGAAAATCACAGGTCTAATGTTTTCTTTCATATATGGAAGCTATAGCAAAGTAAGGGAAAAGTGGGGGTAAGGGCTAGGATACCATAGAGAGCAGCTCAGCAGAGGAGGAGGCAATTGAGTGGGAGGAAGGACAACAAAGAGAAGGAAATGTGGAACAAAATTACACTATGTTCATGTATAGACCACAGTGAATGCCACCATATCTATAAAGCACCAATTAAAAGTAAATGAGTGAAAGGTAGCCCAGTAGAGTAAAGGAAGGGTAACAGGGGGAGGGAGGAAAAGTAGGGAAACCAAGGACTAAAATGGAGTAAATTCCATGCCTGAATGATGTCAAAATGAGCCCAGCTATTATGTACAACTATAATACAGTAACAGAGGAAAAAAATTGCTAGGGCCCCAAATGTAGTGTATCTGATTTTATAGTCTGGGTTGAGACCTGAGAATCTATATTTCTAATAAGCTCAAAAGTGATATTGATGATCCAGGGACCAAACTTTAAGAACCACTGTACTGTACTAATGAAGTAATACCAAAAATTCAAGTACTTTCATATAACTTGAAATCTAAATTAGCAGTAAGTACCCGATCTTAGAAACCTAATTGTTATAGTTGTCACCTAATTCCACTTGGTTGCCTGTACCATTTCTGGGGTTATAAATCAGCAAAAAATGGTAAAAAGTAATAGTCATTTGTATTTAAACTTGAATAATGCATCCTAATATCTGATTTGCATAACAAATGTTTTGGAAAGGCTTCTATGGCCTAAATTATGTTATTGTTTCCTTCAAATATCTTGAAAAATAAGAGTTATGTGTTGTGAAAAGACCAACTAGTATTCAGGAGCCTTAGAAGGCACAGGAAAGAAGTATCGAGTATTAATGTAAGAAAAGAAGGCTGAAATGTTACCCTCCACAAAAAAGAATCAAACCATACCTGGCCAAATGCACTATGTTCCCAGGGATTTGCATTTTAACAAGCGTCTAGGTGATGCTGATCTTTATTTTTTACAGCAAGATCCCAGAATGTCATTTTAAAATATTCCCATATAAGTTTCAATCAGTTTTTCATACAGAAGCAGATATAACACTTGAATCCATGAACATTTCATTAAGGTAAAAAATTACAGTATTAATTTTTAATGGAGCCATTGCAAATTCATATACTTAAATACAAGTAAAAGCTTCCAGTGGGGGATAATCCAGCAGTTACCTTAGGCAAGTGCCTTCTGAAGAATAGCTTTTAAACATTACTGTTATCAAACAAAATGCAGACCTCCTATATCTTTGGCTATTTTTATCACATCAAACTCTATTCCTCCAACTAAGATAGAAAAGCTTTCCTTACTGGACTCCTAACTGGAGCAAAGTTGAAAATATTTCTTAGAAAACAGATAAGGAAACTATTTAGACTCAGATACTTTTATAAGTGACTATAATAACAAATTTATAACATCAGTTTTAATGGGAATAAAAGAAGGGGTAAAACCAGCATATTTATTAGTGGTTTACATACTTGCCATAATGGCAAAAGTGACTGTAACCTGCATAAATAGGACACTCAAGAACATTCCACACTCCTTGGAGGTTAGAGCAATGGAGCTTATAAAACAAAACAAAAAGTTGACTATTCCCATTAAAGAAGGCATCAAAAAATTAGTTTTGAGAAAGAAGATGAAAGGATCACTCTCTAACTCCTGGATACCAGGAAGCAGAGTTTTTCAGAATCAAAAACAAAGAAAGCCCCAATTAAAGAGCTCAAGGACCCACCCCTCAGGGGTCACAAAGTTGGTTATGTTGCTTTTAACTAATTCATTATTTAACACAAAAAACTTAGTCTTTATCCCAAATTAAAACAAAGAACATTTCCTAACACTTTTCTGAAATGCAAACACCCTGGGATAGATCATTACCAGAATCTACACAGGGATTTGCCACTTAGTTATAGTATAATTCATATTGAAGTCATTTCATAAAAATAACAACTCTCCCAATCTTCCAGGTTCCATTTCCTCCCATGACGTTCACCAAAGCAACCTCTATTGTTTAAGATTCTTCATTGCTTGAATGTAGAAATTGCTTAGTAAAATTCTCCAACTCATTTTCAAGCTGAACAGCTTTATTTCTAGTTTAAAAAAAAAAAACTTTAATTATCATAAAGGTCAATGAGAAAAATGCCTCATTCTTGCCAATCTTAAAAAGAAAAACTTGCTAACCAGCTATTATTAGGTTCCTTGGAACTCCTTGACTTTTACCCACCCTTTCCAGAATATTCACTGTTATATGCCACTGAAACTTCACAATGAATGCAGAGTTCAATGTCTAGGACCTAAAAACACCTTTACTGAGATAAAAGACAAAAACTTATAAAGAAAAAGATTTGGAATATAAGAAGACAGTGGAGTTATATCATCTTACATAGGAATTACATCTTAAGACACATAAAGTTATGACTGTCTTTGAAAACTCCTTGTAAGTAAGGTACAAAATACTGAATAAGTCATTTTATGTATATGCAGAGAAGCTGGTATTTGTTCCTGGGCCGTGATAGACCAAAAATATTTTCTCAACACTAGAATCACACTTGATGCAATAAAATCGCCTAATAGAGGCAAACTGTAACTAAAACTATCAGAGAAATAGACTTGTACCTCCCATTCACATGCTATGCCAGAGCACGAATTCACTGGGTGGGTGCCTGTTTATTCTCTATTTTAGAGAGGAAGGGGGTCTTGTTTTGTTTCTGCCCACCATGACTGAGATCACACTGAGTAAATGTAAATACGTCATAAACGCCATTGAATATATTTCTTCAGGTCACCGTGCTGAAGCATTAGGCAAGTTAAATTAAATTCTACTCAATTCATATGGAAAAATAAAAGACCCAGAATAGCAAAAGCAATTTTAAGCAGGAAGTGTGAATCAGGCGGTATAGCGATACCAGATTTCAAACTATATTACAGAGCAATAGTGACAAAAACAGCATGGTACTGGTACCAAAACAGGCGAGTGGACCAATGGTATAGAATAGAGGACACAGAGACTAATCCACAAAGTTACAACTATCTTATATTTGATAAAGGGGCTAAAAGCATGCAATGGAGGAAGAATAGCATCTTCAACAAATGGTGTTGGGAAAACTGGAAATCCATATGCAAAAAAATGAAACTGAATCCCTTCCTCTCTCCATGCACAAAAGTTAACTCTAAATGGATCAAGGAGCTTGATATCAAATCAGAGACTCTGCGTCTGATAGAAGAAAAAGTTGGCTCCGATCTACATATTGTGGGGTCGGGTTCCAAATTCCTTAATAGGACACCCATAGCACAAGAGTTAATAACAAGAATCAACAAATGGGACTTACTTAAACTAAAAAGTTTTTTCTTAGCAAGAGAAACAATAAGAGAAGTAAATAGGGAGCCTACATCCTGGGAACAAATCTTTACTCCTCACACTTCAGATAGAGCCCTAATATCCAGAGTATACAAAGAACTCAAAAAATTAAACAATAAGAAAACAAATAACCCAATCAACAAATGGGCCAAGGACCTGAACAGACACTTCTCAGAGGAGGACATACAATCAATCAACAAGTACATGAAAAAATGCTCACCATCTCTAGCAGTCAGAGAAATGCAAATCAAAACCACCCTAAGATACCATCTCACTCCAGTAAGATTGGCAGCCACTATGAAGTCAAACAACAACAAGTGCTGGCGAGGATGTGGAGAAAAGGGTACTCTTGTACATTGCTGGTGGGACTGCAAATTGGTGTGGCCAATTTGGAAAGCAGTTTGGAGATTCCTGAGAAAGCTGGGAATGGAACCACCATTTGACCCTGCTATTGCCCTTCTCGGACTATTCCCTGAAGACCTTAAAAGAGCATGCTACAGGGATGCTGCCATATCGATGTTCATAGCAGCACAATTCACAATAACTAGACTGTGGAACCAACCCAGATGCCCTTCAATAGATGAATGGATAAAAAAAATGTGGCAGCTATACACAATGGAGTACTATGCAGCAATAAAAATGAAAAAATCATAGAATTTGCAGGGAAATGGATGGCACTAGAGCAGATTATGCTTAGTGAAGCTAGTCAATCCCTAAAAAACAAATACCAAATGTCTTCTTTGATATAATGAGAGCAACTATGAACAGAGCAAGGAGGAAGAGCAGGAAGAAAAGACTAACATTTAACAGAGTCATGAGATGGGAGGGAAAGGGAGAGAAAATCAGTAAAAGATAAAAAAACTACTCAAAAAAAAAATTAAATTCTACTCAAATGCTTGAGCCTCATCTATTAACAATGGAGACTCTGCATAGAAGCATGCCTTGCATAACTGGGATACTCTCTAAGAAGTACATCATTTATCAATAGTTGATTTTTGTGTGTGTGAACATCAGAGCTTATTTATACAACCCCAGATGTGGTAATGGCCTACCACACATTTAGGCTATAGGGCATAGCCTACTGCAGCTTCTAGGCTAAAAATTTGTACTGAATACAGTAGACAATTATAACATAAGGATTAGTATTTGTATAAACAAACACATGAGTAATGTGTTATATTATGACCTTAGGATGGCTATGATATCAGGGATAGAAATTTTCAGTTGCATTATGAAATCATGGGACTACCACTACATATGTACATTGTCATTGACCAAAATATTATTATGTGGTCTGTGACAAATATATGTTCTCACAATTCTAGTTACAAAGAGAGTTCCTGCAATTTGTAAATAGGGGCTACTAAGCTACTCTAAGCATAGGCAACTGTATGTTCCCTGGAAGTAGTGATAGCATTTTTAGATGGTGCTTAACAATTTTCCCAGACATGCTGGCAGGTTAGCTAATAAATAAGAAAGCTAAAGGTACAAACTGCTAAGTATAAACCCGACTGTGACACTTCCAGTCTTGCCCCAAAAGGAAGTTATATTAGATCTCAAACAATCCATAATTAAAATATCAAACCAGAAACATACATTTTATCAAAAAACTAGTTTATTTTTGTTGCTTCAGATTTAAATATACCCAATAGTCCCCAATGAGAACAGAATTTATGGTCTTGACCATAATGGACTAAAAATTCACTTTAAATTACAGAACTTCTGTTCTAAAAAGGGACTAATTTGGCCTAACACAGAGTAAATTCCTTTTAATTCAGATATTCTCTCTTGTTGAAAAAAGCTTATATTGAAATTACTAAACATGAAATTAAATATGGAAGATCTTAATTTAAACACAGAAAGTTCAAAATTTTAAAAAATTTAAAAATTTTTTTAAAAAAGTTTCAAAATCATTCGTGATTTTATATAATTACATTTTGGTAATGAGACCACTAAATATTCACATTATTGAGAATAAAAGTTTAAATACCTTAAGAACTTCGAATTGTTTTGTATTTTCTCCAACTGATCTATTTCTTTGGATAATCTAGCAATTTCTTCTTCCAGATGTCTTTGTGTAATATCAACTTGTTGGCACAGGCGAGCAAAAGTAGTAGCCATTTCTCTTAAAATTAAAAAATAAATTAGTAGCCATGAACATCTTCTAAAATGAGGAAGCTTCAATGTGAAGTTTTCATAATCAGAAGAAAAGTTGTAAAACAACATCTAAAACATTAAGAATCAAGAATGCAAAAAGAGAGAGCCTATAGAATGGGAGAAAATCTTTGCCACCTACACCTCAAAGCATTAATCTCTAGGATATATAAAGAATTCAAAAAACTTAACACCAAAACCACAAATAACCCAATCAATAAATGGGCAAAGGACGTCAACGAACACTTCACAGAAGAAATACAAATGACCAACAAATATATGAAAAAATGTTCAACATCACTACCAATTAGAGAAGTGCAAATTAAAATTACAGTGAGGTTGTGGCTAAGTGGTAGAGCACTTGCCTAGCACGTGTGGGGCCATGGGTTCAACCCTCAGCATCACATAAAAATAAACAAACAAAATAAAGGTATACAAAAAAAAAAAAAAAACTACACTGAGATTTCAACTCATTCCAATCAGAATGGCAATTATCAAGAATACAAGTAATAATAAGTATTAGAGAGGATGTGGAGGGAAAGGTACACTCATATATTGCTGGTGGGACTGTAAATTGGTGCAATTACTATGGAAAGCAGTATGGAGATTCCTCAGGAAACTTGGAATAGAACCACCATTTGACCCAGCTATCTCATTCTTTGGTTTATACCCAAAGGACTTAAAATTAGCATTCTACAGTGACATAGCCACATCAATGTTTATAGTAGCTCAATTCACAATAGCTAAACTATGGAACAAACCTAAGTGCCCTTCAATAGATGAATAAAGAAAATGTGGCACATATATACAATGAACTATTACTCAGCCATAAAGAATAAAATTATGGCATTTGCTAATAAATGGATGGAACTAAAGAATATCATGCCAAGTAAAATAACTCCATCCCAAAAAACCAAAGGCCTAATACTCTTTGATACGAAAGTGCTAACACACAATAAGGGGGCGGGGAGAATAGAAGTTCACTGAACTAGACAAAAGGGAATAAAGGGAAGGGAGGGGGATGGGAATAGGAAAGACAGTAGAATTTATCGAACATAAATTTCCTATGTTCATATATGAATACATGACCAGTGTAACTCCACATCATGTACAATCACAAAAATGAGAAGTTATACTCCATGTATTTATATAAAACTACACTCCACTTTGATGTATATCTAAAAAAATCTACTTTTATGTATATCTAAAAAAAATTTTAAAAAAGAATCAAAGAATACTGTGCTATGAATGATATGAGGGAAGATATGGCACTTGTAAACTTACTGTAACTGTAAGCTTAATTTTATCTGGCCTCTAGACAAATAAATGCTCAAAGACATAATATAACCTCTGCTATATGGCTGTGAATTCAAATGAGCTATCAACATGCAAAAGAAGGCTATACTTCTTCAGAAGCACAATAAACCTATTCTCTTGCCCAGTTAAAATTTAAAAAAAAATTGAGACTGAGAAAGAAAAAATTCTATGAACTATTATGAAGTGAAAATACTGTAAATCATATCTAAATTTAATCATGCTTCCAAAACTAAAGGGTTAAATCTAATTTGAATGCTGGTTAATACATTAGCTTTAGTAAATACAATATTTATATTTTTCCAATCAGGAGTATTTCTGATGTGTGTGCACCTACAGAACAGTTAACTTACTCATTTTTCTGTGCAACTATTCTCCTGTGCATCTTCATCCTTTCCCTGGTCTTTTTTTTTTTTCCTCCACTCCACCAAATCCCAGTATCAGACAAATAGAGCATGTTTCATTCTTTTACTGTTATAAATACTAACATTCACCTAGTATATTTTAACTAATTATTTGAGATTGCCTCCATTGTAATGTAAAGTCTTCTAAAAAAGAAAGATCAAGTTATCCTCAACTTTATTTTCCATAACTCTGCATAATTATCAAAATGGTAGGAAATAAATCAATGCCTAATGATTCAAAAAAAAAAAAAAAAAAAGCAGGGCAAGGTGGCACATGCCTGTAACACCAGCTACCCAGCTTTGAAAGTTCAAAGCTAGCCTTTGTATTACAAAAAAAAAAAGGCTTGAGATGTAGCTCCATGGGTTTAATATTCAGTAATAAGAAAAAAAAAATGAGAATAGAAAGCTACATTAACATTATTTTTATGAACCAAATTTCCTTTTTAGGTCCAGGTATCTTCATTAGAGAAAAGATCTTCTAATAAAAATAAATTAAAATTAAAGCTATCATATAAAATAAGAACTCAAAAAATATTTAATGAATAAATGGATGGATGGATGAACAAGTTCCTTGAACTATGTGGCCTCCATGTTCTATTTTCTACAGCTTTAATTATGTTAAGACTTTAATTTTATGTCTAAAACGGACATAACTTTGTTGTAATTCTTGTTTCCATAGTCTAAACCATTTCATATACCACATCACTGCAAAATTATTTGTTTTAGAGCTAAGTTATCAGTATCATTCCCAGGATTCTTTCATTTTTTTTTTTAGTTGTTAATGGATCTTTTTAAATTTTTTTAATATATATTGTGGTGCTGAGGATTGATCTCAAGGCTTCACACATGCCAGGCAAGTGCTCTACCACTGAGCCACAAGTCCAGCCCACTCCCAGGATTCTTAATTATCCAAATTCCAAGCCCTGTAATAGCAGGGCCCTGTCCTAGGGTTGTTACCTTCACCTGCATCTCCCTTATACATCTGCCACACTGACATTTTCTTTTCATGTTCCTGATAACATCCCTTCCCTCTATTTTTTTTAATATATATTTTTAGTTGTAGATGAACCTTTATTTATTTATTTATTTTTATATGGTGCTGAGGATCGAACCAGTACCTCACATGTAAGGGGCAAGTGTTCTGCCACTGAGCTACATCCCAGCCCCTTTTTCTCTCTTTTTACTTCTGACTTGCATTATTTTCTGTCTGATCTTAACTTTTCTGAATGTTCAAATCTCATTTGATATCAATCCTTTAGTAAAGATACTGACCCACTATCTTTCATGCTTTAAGTAAATGCTTAAGCCTCACATTTCAAGAATGCTTTTTCTTTCTCACACTACCTATCACTTTCACTTTGTATTATAATTATGTGCATGTTCTCTTTCATTAAACTGCAACTATATTGAGCTTTTTAATTTTGCTCTCAATTATATCCAAATACATAATATTGTGCCTTGACCCAAGGGGAGTTCCATATACTTTAAATCAATGAAATAAATATTCAAGATGTAGAAAAACAGAAACTGGATAGACTAGGTATTTGTTTATTATGTTATAATAAAATTTTCTTGAGATCTAAAAAATAATACATTTAGACTAACAAGTTTGAATTATAAGAGTAAACACAATATTATGTCTATTATAAAATCAGGAATCTGCTCATAATTAAGCCCACTTGTTAAATGCTAATAATTCATTCAGTTTTCATAATTAAGAAACCACAAATATTTCAAGCACAGGAATATAAATTCAGAATAAATCTGCTAAAGAACTATCTTTTGAAAGCCCAGCAGACAGAGTTCTTGGGATTTCCTATATACCAATTTCCAAATGTTCAAATCTGATATATAAGAAGAATGGTGAGAATAGTGATTGGAAGGGGAGTTCGCAGAAGTGAGGTTTAGTATCATTCTATCTTTCCACCTTGTTGGTGATTATACGATTTTCATTCTCTGCATATATGTCATATTTCAAAGAATGTTTTTTAAAAAAGAAAGATGCATATTTCCACTTACTGTTGTACTTGGTGGCTACAGTTTGCACTTGTGAAACTAACAATCATCTGTAGTTTTTCAGTTGCATAGTTCACAAACTGCTGTTTAAAGGCTCTCTCCTTGGCATGGGTAGTCCAGGTTAGCCTTTCATAAAGATACAAAGCTCCATACATACTCAATGAAACAGATATGAGTTTCCAGCCTACAGTTTTCCAAATCTGTAAGATAAAGTTACAGCTTACTCTGAAAAGAAAAAAATGCCAGTTGGGAGAAAATATTAAAACGCTTGTGGGGTCCCTAAAGATCCCTGAATTGTATCTAGTTTCTAAAAATGCATATTCCTTTTCTATAAGAAAATCTGAAGTTACCAAAAGACAATCAGGTGGAAAAGGGATCAGCACATATATATCAGGAAGAGCATTCAAAACCTGTAATATTTTAAGTTGATGCACTAAAAAATTATATAAATTTTTTAATTTAGGTCAGAGATTTAAAAACCAAAACAACCACATATATGTGCTGGTTAATGATATATATAAATTTTTAAAATGTAAGAACTACTACTATAAATAATGTTTAATACTTTAAGACAGATTCCCTTGATATTCAGAGAAGGCTAAACAAAGCACCTGATCTTCCCTTTTTTCTTTTTTTGTTCTCCACTGATCTACAATCTTTTATTATTACTTCATCATACAAATATCATTTTTTTGTCTGCTGTGGTATGAAAGTAGTAAAGAAGCATTGTTTGAAAAATCGGACATGGTGGGAATGTGTGCAACTCAGTGGTAGAGCACCTGGTTAGTAGGAGTAAGGTCTAGGGGTTAATCCCCACCAATGTCAGATAAACTGACAGACAAGAGACAGACAAGTAGATGGAGCTGCCCAGATAATAATGGTTCTTTCCTAAGCATTTATGTATTTTTAAAATTTAAGATTAGACTTGTGAAACTCTTCATTTATTACTTTTATCCTATTTATTTTCTTATTGCTTTATGGACTTGAAAATACAAAAAATCTTTCCTTTCATGATCTAATAGGCAACTTTGCAACGAATTCAATTTTAATTATACTAAAAATAACATTTCTTACCACTCCTCCAACAACTATGATGCCCATAGAAGTTCTAGATGTAAGAGAAGCTAATCCTGTTATTAAGGTAACCATGAGTTCTTCCTGTGACGCATTATCTGGTGTTGCTGGATTGGTGGGAGCAGTGGGAGTTGAAGCTAATGATCTAGGAAGCTGATAAATTTAGGAGGAAAAAAGAGATTATTAAAGAAGTAAGTATAAATGAAATAGTCACATTTATAAGATTTTAAAATTTCTTTTAAAATCATAGTAGCAAAACAATTTTAAAAATGACCCCAAATAACGAGTATACTATTAACATGAAAAAAGATAAATAAAACTGACTAAAAATTATTTTCTATAACATGGACCAAATGATATAGTAAACAACAATAAATATTCATAACATACAATGGAGTCTACTTATAACAATAATTCTCAATAGAAATTAAAACCTTTTTGTAAAAAAAGGGCTGGAATGTAACTCAGTAGGTTAGAGCATGTTCACAGTATGCACACAGCCCCAGGTCAATTCCCAAAACCAAAAAACCTCCAAAATCTCTCACATGAAAAAACAATCCTCAAAAAAGAAAAAAATAAATAAGTTGGACTACAAAACAAAATAAACCAAAGAAAATTAAAAGACAAACCAGAGACTGGAAAAATACATTTGGAAATCATGTATTTGATTAAAGGACTTTTTATCCAAAATACATAAAGAATTCCTAAAACTCAATACAAATCAATACAATTAAAAAATGAATAAAAGCTGGGCATGTGGTGCATGCCTGTAATCCCAGTGACTCAGGAAGCTGAGGCAAGAAGATCCCAAGTTCAAAGTCAGCCTCAGCAACTTAGCCAGACCCTGTCTCCAAATAAACAATAAAAAGTGTTGGGGATGTAGCTCAGTAGTTAAGCACTCCAAAGTCTAATCCCCAGAATATACCAAAAAAAAAAAAAAAAAAAGGAGGGAGGTATTGTGTCCAACTACAACTAAAAAAATGTTAAAAAAAAAAGGTGGGGATGCTGGGGTCATGGCTCAGTGGTAGAGCACTTGCCTGGCATGTGAGAGGCATAGGGCTCAATTCTCAGCACCACGTATAAATAAAGATCCATTGATGGGGCTGGGGATGTGGCTCAAGCGGTAGCGCGCTCGCCTGGCATGCGTGCGGCCCGGGTTTGATTCTCAGCACCACATACAAAGATGTTGTGTCCACTGAAAAATAAATATTAAAAAAAATCTGCTGCTTTTATAAAAAAAAAAAAAAGATCCATTGACAACTAAAAAAAATATTTAAAAAAGAATAAAAGATTTGAATAGACATTTCACAAAAGAAGGTACATGAATAGTTAATAAGTACATGGAAATATGTCAAAAATCATTAATCATTAAAGGAAATACAAATCAAAAGTATTTTGAGGTACCACTTCACATCCACCATAATTAAAAAAGACAAGACTATAACAAGTGTTGACAAATATTCTGAGAAACTAGAACCATCATACACTGCTGGTGGGAATGGTGCAACCATTTTGTAAAGCTGTGTGGCAATTCCTCAGAAAGTTAAACACAAATTTTCATGTGGTCCAGCAATTTTACACCTAGATATATACTTGAGAAAGGTGAAAACACATGTCCACCTAAAAACAGATACATGCATGTTCATAGCAGCATTTTTCCTAATGGCCCTAAATCACTTCCTATCCTGATGTTCAACTGATAAATCGATAAATGTTTTATCTAAAACAGAATATTACTTGGGTGTTAGAAGGAATGAAATAGTGATACATGCTATAACAATATAATAATGAAAAACCTTGAAAATATTACATTAAATGAAATAAATCAGTCACAAGAGGCCATGTGTTACATGATTCCATTCACAGGAAATACCCAGACAGGGCAAATCCGTATCCCTTGATATACAATTAGAAGGTGATTAATGGTAGGGCTAGAGATAGGAATAGTGACTGAATTTTGTTTCAAGCTATATCCCCTCCAAGTGTATATAAATGTGGGTGTGTGTGTATATATATAAATTATAGTTAAAAAATTATTCTGAAAGCAGGATGTGTTGGTGCATGCCTATAATCCCAGCAACTTGGGAGGTTCAGGAAGGAAAGATCTCAAGTTCAAGGCTATCCTAAGCAACTTAGTGAGACCCTATCCCCAAATAAAAAATATTGGGTACATAATTCGGTGGCAGATTGCCCCTGAGTTCAAATTCTAGAACCAAAAAAAAATTGTTTGAGGCATTTTCCTCACTTTATTTTGTCCTCTTATTAGTTAGCTGTTTGGCTATTTCAGTGTTTTGTTGGCAGAACAAACTAATAAATCTCTTGTGCACTGGTATTAAATGTAAATTGTATTGTATATAAAACCATACAGAGGAGTTGGGGTATGGCTTGAGGTAGGAATGACGACTGACTGACTAATGGGCATATGGGATCCTTTTGGGATGACAGAAATGTTCTAAAATGGGATAACAATGATGGATTTACAGTTTCATAAATTTTCTTGAAAATTATTAAAACTATTAAATTTCTAAGTTTTTCTTTTGAAGTGTTTGCATTTATTCCAATTCACGTGAAGTCTGAAAATCAAATCTTTTTAAAAATCCTTTAAAAGTTTCAAAAGTAAACATAGAACTATCTATAATAGAGTACTAGGTAGGGGCTGGGGTTGTGGTTCCGTGGTATGAGGGCCTGGGTTCAATCCTCAACACAATAAATAGATAGATAGATGGATGTCCATTGAAATATATATATATATATAAAGAATACTGGGTAAACACTTTGGAATTGGCTATACCTTATAATGCATACATAACTCAAATGGCTGTTAGAGATAGATATTAGCTTAAAAACATGCAGATTTGCAGAAGATAGTTTGAGTAGAGAAAACTGCACAAGTAAAATAAGAAAAGGGAGTCTTAATTGGTAAAATCAAAGATACATACCTGAAAGATAGGCTCTGATAATCCAAGCAATACCCTCTGAGCATTTGTGGGGCCCAAGAATCGATGAACAAGGGAAGACCAGCCCAAGGAAAAACGAAATACAATATCCTCTTGAAAATCTGAACATAACTTGTGGCAATTTAGGTCATAACTGAGGTCAAATTTCTTGCAAGGGATCAATGTATGAAGTTTATTTTGTATACCAGCTGGAAGTAATGGCTTCAAATTTTCTGGAAAGAAGAAAATTTTATTACATTTATTTTAAGAAACAGTAATGTTTAACCTTCTAAGAATATCCAAAGGAAAACAAACCGTTTACCAAGAAAGAAAGAAAACAAAACCACACATGATATTGTAGATATAAATATTACCAATAATTTCTTGCTGGGATTGAAGCATTGAGGCATTGACTTCATTGGTGCACCGATCTGCCAAATTTCTTCCCATACCATCTTCTATGTGCTTATTTAACTCCTGTTAACAATGGTAGATGTTCATGTTATTTTTTTCTCAGAAAATATATAGATTTTATAAAGACTTAAATGTTTGAAGATAAATTCTGTGGGTTTTTTATTTGATGCTGGGAATGGAACCCAGGACCTCACACTTGCTAAGTATATGCTCTACAACTGACCTACATTCCAGTCCAGCCCCTCGGTACAGTTTTTTAAAAACACATTAAAAAAATTTTTTTTAACATATTAAACAACTTTTTGAGATTTTTTTCAATTTTTCATGTGGTGCTGGAGGTCGAACTCAAGGCCTCATGCATGTCAGGCAAGCACAATTCTCCTGAGCTACAGGCCCAACACCACTCTGTACAGTTTTCTGTGCAAAATAGTTTACATTCAGTACCAGTGCACAAGTGTTATAACAGCTTGTATAGTAACTGCCAAGAAGATATTGAAATGGCCAAACCAATAAAATAAATGAATACAAAAGATGATGGTGAAAGCATCTCATAACAACGTTTTAATTACAATTAACTCACATTTTTATATACTTTCAATACACTTGGAGTTGGATGAAACTCAGAACAAAACTCATCAACCAAAACAGATAGTCGACAAATTTCATCTGTCATTGCACATGAAACCTGAGAATATTAAAAAATTAGAGTTAAAAAATTAAAACGAGATTACCAACTACTCAAAAAAATAAAAATGAGAAAAAGTATCATAATGTTTTTAAGGTAAGGGTTAACATTTTTATCATGATCAAAAAATATGTCCAAGGAAAAATGAAATACAATATCCTCTTGAAAATCTGAACATAACTTGTGGCAATTTAGGTCATAGCTGAGGTCAAATTTCTTGCAAGGGATCAATGTATGAAGTTTACTCTGTATATCAGCTTTAATCATAACATTTTTGTTACCTTGTTCGCTACCTCCTCAGTGACCTCCTTGATTTTTTTCTTAACATCCAAAGTTAAAAGGTTCATCTGGTTTCGGATAAAGTCCAGTCTGTCAATTTGGTCTTCCCTCTCTTCCATTGAATAAACCCTATTATATTATGAAGAGCAATCAACATTCAAGACACACTAGAGTCCCAAAGCAATTAAGCAACAATACTCAACTATGCATTGAACCATCTACTAGCATGACCCAAGGAAAAAAGAAATCATGTGCTTCAACACCTGAAAGTATTCAACTAACAATCATTCATGAAATACTTTATAATGATGGATTTGCTATAAACTACACCCTCTGCCCATGTGAACCTAACTCCTACAAAGGGTTGATAAAGACTCTATAAAGCCACTGAACACTTCACAGATATAAATAGTCAAAACAGAACTCAATTGTGACTTTACTAAACAAGTGTCAGCAAACAGTACCCTGGCAAGACAAATCCAGTCATGTGCCAGTTTCATGTTGAAGTTTTCTTAGAATACCAGTACATTCACTCAGTTGCCTATTTATATATATATCTGCAAAACTGAGCAGCTGCAAGATAGTAAAATATTGTAAGCTTTCTGAGCTGTACTATCTATCTGGCCTTTCATAGGAAATTTCGTAGAAGTTTGTTTATCCCTCCATAGCACAAAGACCAAAGGCATGAGACCCTTTTAAGATCTTTGCTAAAAGGATTGCCAAGAGTTAATATTACACAAAGTATCCTCAAATCACATCTTTATGCTATATTTGGTTTGATGTCTCATAGTTTTAAAAAATAAATAATAAGGTCAATCTGGCAACCAAATTTTGGGTACTATAATAAAGCATTTGAGTTGGAAGGGGCTTCTATAAGAACACAGTCTCATTATAAAAAGGCTACATAGAGGTACAGCACCAGGAATGAGATCAGACTTGGGGTTCACAGCCTTGTGTTCTATACACTGGGTATTTTCTCCTTTTGACACATGTATTCCTGAAAAAAGTACTAAAACCAAACAATAGACTTAGATAGGATATGGGGGCAGGGGGTTTCCAGAAAGAATAAAATTTCAATTTTACCTCCTCTTGGATTTTAATCTTTGATGCTTTGTTATGTTTCCTTGAGCTAGCTTAAGCCCACTAAAAGTACAATTGAGGCTTAACATCATTACTTCTGAAAACATATCTAATAACATCCTAATCTTTGCTTCAAGTATACCAAGTTAGTGAGAATTATACTTTTCAACAATACAGTTAGTACTTAAAGGTTTATATTTTCAACTTTAAACAAGAATGAATCATGGGTTGAATGCAAAAAGAGGATCACCTGATTTGGAATCCTTCAGAAAATTCTGCTTGAAGAATTTGTTCTTCCACTGCTTTAAAGATATTTTAAAACCACTAAACATTCTAAAATCGCAATTTATACACATAAATGTAGTGATCCAGGAAATATAAACATTGTGTTCAAACAGGTCACAGAATTAATCAATATTCATATTTTCAAACATTTAAAAAGCACACAAGTAGCCAGGAGTGATGGTGCATGCCTATAATCCCAGCAACTCAGTAAAGTGAGGCAGGAGGATCACAAGTTCAAGGCCAGTTTCAGCAACTTAGGAAAGCTGTAAGCAACTCAGGGAGACCCTGTCTCAAAAAATAAAAAGGGCTAGGGACATAGCTCAGTAGTCAAGTGCCCCTGGCTGCAATCCTCAGCATCAAAAAAAAAAAAAAAAAGATATACACAAGTAAGTATCAGTAAAATTCACAAGACTTGATTTTAGTGCACAAAACTATAGCACAATTTTACAATTTAATATCTTAGTCTTAACAAAAGTCTGATATAGAAAAACTAACATTTTTATGTTGCAATAAAATGAACTCATACCTTTTCTCTGCTGCTGCCACGTTTACTGAATCCATTATGTTTTTCACAGTATCTAGTATCTGTTTAGCTCTGATAGTGTGCTGTTCAAACTTTGTTTTCACTGCTGACTTCGAGATACACTCCTGCGAGGGGCCCAAGCCATAACACATTACTGTAATTCCATCACAACATTTTCAGGAATTTAAACACAAAAACTTGCTGATTGTAACTTAAACCAAAACAGAAACAAGGGTAGAAATAAAACAAAAAAACATACGATACACAACTTAAAATTACAAAGCTTTTAAAAAAATTAAAAGCTTCAAAAGTAAAAAGGATTTTAACAGCAAGTTCTTATCTTTGTGTATTTTTTACACAGTAATGTGGCATGGTTTGACTAATATTTTAAAAATAAATGGCACTATATTTTCAATGTTAAAAAAGGTTTCCACATCACAATTACATATGTGGATCATATTATATAATTTTAATCCATCTCTCTTATTTTTCTCATACTTATATAATATATAACCTATAAAGTTCTTAAATGAGTTTTGAATTAGAATATTAATTTAAAAAATTGGTTGATATGAGGGCTGGGGATATAGTTCATTTGGTAGAGTGCCTGCTTTGCATGTATAAGACCCTGGGTTTAATCCCCAATATATATATAAAAAAAATTAGTTGAGTAATATGGTGATTCATAAAGCTAGCAAAAAGGACTTCTACAGAGTAAAATGTCAACAATTTGAAAAATAATATTTAACAACCTAGGTAATATTTTAAGTTATTTACAGAAAAATCTCTATAGCTACTTCAAAGACAATAGTATTATCACTAGGTGACAGTGTGGTGCACACTGGTCTGAATGATGCCCATTTGTTTCACCTTCAAGCTAACTGCAGCTCATAACCATCAACAGCTGTACAAATCAACTAGTGTTTTATAAATAAAGTACATCAGAATGCATCACATATAGTAACGGACACAATTATTTGTGAAATTTTTGCTTGAATTTTCAATATATGAATTTTCAATATTTTAATTTTCAATATAATTTTCAATATTACTGATCTAAATTTATTTTTACTGTGATTCATCAAGTTTATCAAATTATAATATTACAACTGAACTCATTTTTTTTTACTTCATAGAAAGTCAAAATCTATAGTGACATTTGAAAACTATAGGGGTTTACATAGAAAAGACATTCAGTCTGAACAATTTAAGAAATGCTAGCCTGGGCCATATCAGTAACTACAATTTTTCATAGGAGACATGTTTATCTTCTATAATAATTTTTTTTTTTTTTGAGGGGAGAGTGCCAGGGATTGAACTCAGAGGCACTCCACCACTGAGCCATATCCCCAGCCCTATTTTGTATTTTATTTAAAGACAAGGTCTCACTGAGTTGCCTCACCATTGCTGAAGCTGGCTCTGAACTTGTAATCCTCCTTCCTCAGCGCCCCGAGGTGCTGGGATTACAGGTGTGTGCCACTGCACCCAGCAATAACTTTTTTAGAATTATGGTTATATCACAATTCCCTAAGATGGATACTTCTGTAAAAGTATTATATTTAGTTGTTTATATATTTAAACTAGTACAAATTGTTAATTACATCCTGAAGCTCACTATTGTCCCTCCTTTGTAAAAATAAATAGCTTTCAAGGTTTAAATGGTATTCACGTGGCACTTAAGTACTATATTTATTATTCTGAAATGAGTATGTTACATGCTCATTAATTGTACTACTTGGCCAGGCTGGGTGGTGCATGCCTATAATCCCAAAAGCTTGGGAGGCTGAGACAAGAGGAATGGCAAGTTCAAAACCAGCTTCAGCAATGGCAAGGAGCTAATGAACCCACTGCCTCTAAATAAAAAATACAAAATAGGGCTGGGGATGTGGCTCAGTAATGGAGTGCCCCTGAGCTCAACCCCAGTACCCACCCTCAATAAAAAATAAAAAATAAAAAAATAAATGTACTACTTATAACTTAGACTCAGCCCTGTCTCTAAAATTATGTATGTATTTCATTCAAATAGAAAGCCTTTAATCTTTCTCCCCTCTTCAGTATTTTGAGGTATAAAATACAGAACAATTCACTTCTTTAGGGATAGGGCACGTGAAGAAAATTCATTTATAAAGACAACTCAGCCCATTCATTTTTTGATTGGTCTACCTTCACTTTTGCCCATGGTGAATATCATTTACACATCATTCATTTTCACTAATCTTCAAAATATCAGTGGTATGCATTTTAAGTATTCCTATCCCATATATATCTAAAACAAAGTCAAACAATCCAGGATGTTTCCTTCTATAAAACCACCAATAATTACCTAATAGTAAATGTCTGAATTGTAAACTACTTATTTTTTAATAACCAAAACACAACTTGAATTTTATTTTAAATAGCTGTCTCATAAATGTGCCAAATTAAGCTCCACAAAATTATAATAAAAGCATAAAAAGAATTTTAAAAGAAAAAGGTTAAAGTAAAATTTATGTTCCTCGATGAAGTAAATCTAGATATCAGCAATGAAGATCCAAATTCGTAGATAACAGCACAATGTTAGAGCTAGACTAGACAGAAATGAAAAGATCTTGAAAAGTTATTTGGTAAATATAAGTTATTTTTTGATTCCAAAACACAATAATGAATAAATATAAAAAAGAAAAACAATCTTTTTCTAATTAAAAGTATCCTAAACTGCTTTTTCCATTTATATGCAGGATATTAAAAGACAGACTAATATGCTAATGAATCTCCATGGGAAAATATACAGCTTATAGAGTTCCTAGATTTATCAGAAACTCTAATTTTCCAGAAAGTTAAAAATACTATTTTATATATATATATATATAATATATATTTTTTTTTTTTTTTTAACTTTTCGGCGGACACAACATCTTTGTTTGTATGTGGTGCTGAGGATCGAACCCGGGCCGCATGCATACCAGGCGAGCGCGCTACCACTTGAGTCACATCCCCAGCCCCTAAAAATACTATTATAAACCAATTTAAATTCCCTCATGTCAGAATATCTTATAGGCTCCTTTAAAACTTAATGATTGAGATTCAAAATAGTAATCATATGCCAATTAAGTTAATTTTCTGATGTCCTAATAACATAAGGAAGCTGATGATCATATACTATTATATGTATAGTTTGTTATTAATGTGTATCTAAAACAACAAAAGTAAACTTTTTTTCTTCTAAAAACAGGAGCACCTGCATAGCACGCTCAAGTCCCAGGTTCAATCCCCAGCACTGCAAAATATATAAATACACACACACACACACACACACAGAGAGAGAGAGAGAGAGAGAGAGAGAGAGAGAGAGAGAGAGAGAGAGATAATAAGAGACTAGTTCCCAAATCTACCTGATTACTGCAATCACTTGGGGAACTTTGACTATACATAGATTCCTAGGCCAATTCCAGCCCAACTAGATCAAAATTTCTGGGAACCTCAGGTGCCTGCAGTTCTCCAAAGTAACTCATGTGATTTTAATAATCAGCTAGGTTTGGGAACCAGTGCTCTATAGCACACATCTTTTATTCCTCTCCTTCCTGCCCCTTCGAGATATTCTGGGAAAGCAAAAGGTGTACCATGAATCAATATGAAAGATATGTAAATGGACAAAATAGTATGATTTGGTAGAAGAAAGAATTATAAACATTCACTATATATATATGTATATATATATTTTTTCCTTGTCAATAAATACAGACAAGGAAAAAGAACAATAGATGCTCTCTCAACACATTTTCCACATGCATGAAGTAAGTGGAAAGCATGAGGAAAGTATCAATTCTCTTGTGGAAAAAAAAGGAAAGAAAATAAACAGTATTCTACGAATAACTGGGAATCCATGTATCCTATGGCTTGGCTTGAGAGGACATCTACTGATATTGCAGGAACCTCTGAAAAAGTAGAGTTCTTACTAAGGTAGCATATAGTGAGTTTTCTTTTAAATACTTTGTCTTCATATGTCTAAAGGTCTTTCCTCCTCTTATCAATTTAAAGATAAGGAAAAAGTAAGCAAATTTTTAAAATTTTAAAAATTCTGCCAAGCACATTCAACTTTCAAGTCTGTCCTACTAAGGCAATTACCACTTAGAAAGAGGAATAATTACAGATGCCAGATTTCTAATTTTAAAGTCTCTGTGTTCATTCATAAGTGAGAAGTTGATATGGAATCTATGCAGTAATATATTAAATAGGGCTATGGAAGGTTTTAGAAGATTAATATCTTAAGAACTTTTTAGTCAAATGTAGGATTTTTAATGTCTCTGAATACTCAAGTGCCTACACTATAAGAGATTAATTATCTTCTCTCCCCAATACTATACACACACATCAGTCACTCACACACTTTGGTAGTTTCCCACCAGATTCCTAATGTTGGAGCTGTATCTTAATTATTTTCTATTAACTCACTTGTTCAGAACACTTGATACAAAATGAGGAGAATGAATAGGTTGCAATACACTTTAGAAATGTTGTAAAATTTTATCAAATGACATTAAACATGTCCTATATATCTCCATGAATAGTATGGTATCAAAAAAAAAAGAGAACGAGCATGATTTTCACTTTGCTCTCTATTCCTTTCAACAGCAAGTACATTTGTTTGCTCTTGCTTCAAATAACTGAACACCAAGAATTTCATACATTGCACAACACAAGCAATAATGAAAAAACTTTCTCACTTATAAATACATAAGGAAAAAGAATAAGGAAGAAATTATAATCTTTAACTCTCAATTCTTACAGATCATCCATTTTGCTGGGCTTCCTTTCTTCCAACTTTCCTTGTTTCACTTGCTGTGTCAGTAACTACACTAAATAACAGCAGAGGTTATTGAAAGATTAATAGTGAAAATGAAGTTATAATCACTCTCCAGCCAGTTCAGGAGTTTTGCATTATTTGATACATTGACAAAATTCCTACCTCAAAAATTTGTTCAAAATTCTGAAATTCCTGTAATCTTGCCTGAAATCCTTCAGCAAGTGCCCCACCTGTAATATACAGGCAAAGACTTTTTTAAATCTAATATATCAATCCCTTTTATCCATGAGAAATATGTCCCAAGACCCCTAGGGGATGTCTGAAACTGCAAGTAGTAATGAACCCCATATAAACTTTATCTACACATATATACACAAATTTGATGCCTTTTCCATCTTAACCAAGCATTTATCATGCACTGTGGCTGAAACTTTTGAAGCTGGAGGTACAAATTTCTTTTTCTTCTTCACAATTTCAGTTAGAAGAGTAATTCTTACGTAGATCTTAGCAATCTCAGCATACAATATTTTTTCTTTATTAAATCTAGTATTTTTAACTTTTCACTTAAAACAAGCACTTTATAGTATCTCTCTCGTGTATGTCAATTGCGGGCATGAGTAACTATTTTTGCTCTTGGGGTCATTACTAAGTAAAATAAGGGTTGCTTGAACATATAAGCTCTGTGATTACTAAGCAATCAACATGTTAACCAAGATGGCTGAGTAGTGTATGGAAACCTTGAACAAAAGGATGTTCCATGTTGTCTGGAATGGACAGACTTCATAATACTATTCAGTGTACAATTTAAAATTAACAATCTGTCTATTTCTAAAATTACCCATTTAAAACTTTCAGACCATTCCTGACCATAGATTACTGAAACCACAGTAATAAGAGGGGGACTACTGTATACAGCTAGATTTCCAGCATAATATTGTTTTTTAATATATATATTTAAAAGGAAAACCTATTATTAATACATACCACCTTCTGGCATCCCCTGTATTTTGTGCTTTCTAGCAGTAAGAACTTCCTTTGCTGAAACAAAGAAGATACGATTTTGTGCTTCTAAACGATCCACAACTTTGAGCTCCTCTACCAAGAAATGCAGGCATCTTTCCATGTGTTGTCTGCGTACCTACAAAGAAGAATATTAAAGAATTCTAATAATTTAAATAAACATAACCAATGAACATAGATCTATACTATACTTCATTTACAATGATAGTATAGGAATAGTCCCATATACCTAATAAATCCAGAACATTTTAATAAATAAAGTTCAATACTTGACAAGAAATCTTTAATTATCTTCCTTTTGAACATATTTAAAATTCTAACAAAACATTAAATATTATACAACCATTATAAATCATACTGCAGACAAATGTTAATATTTAATGGCATGGAAATGTCAAATCTGTATTAAGGATATACATGATTTTATTACAAAAAAATGAGTATATAGATGTGTATTAATTAATAATAGTGGCAAGCTGGGCCCAGTGATGATGCCCAATCCCACCAGCTAGGGAGGCTGAGGGTTCAAAGCCAGCCTCACCAAAATTGAAGCGTTAAGCAACTCAGTGAGACCCTGTTGATGTGGCATATTGGTCGAGTGCCCCTGAGTTCAATTCCCAGTACCTCCTCCAAAAAAATTAATTATAGCACCAGAGAGGCAAAGCCCATAAAAATCAGTGGCATTTTAATTTATTCCTTGTTTTCCTTTTCTTCTCTTCTACTAGACACTGAACCCAGGGATATTTTACTTTTGAGCTATATCCCCTGATCATTTTTCAAACTTAATTCTGAGAGGGTCTTGGTAAATTGCTGAGGCTGGGCTTGAACTTGTGAGCCTCCTGCCTCAAATGGTGCCACACCTGGTCCTTATTATTCTTTTATTTTCTAAATTTCCAACAATGAAGCTATTAATACCTTTGAAATCAGAAAATAAATGCTACAAAAAATTGGCTAAAATGAAGCTATTTTGTATGTGTGTGTAAATAAGAAAGACTGGTATTTTTAATGGAAATTTTTAAAAATTCTTAATGGATATTAAAATGGATATTTTTAATGGAAATCATTAAATTACAGCTTGGGAGGCTGAGGTAGGAGGATGATGAGTTCAAAGGCAGCCTCAGCAAAAGCAAGATGCTAAGCAACTCAGTGAGACCCTGTCTCTAAATAAAATACAAAATAGGGCTGGAAATGTGGCTCAGAGGTTGAGTGCTCCTGAGTTCAATTGTAGTTACCCCCCCCAATTACAGCCCTAATTAGAAGAAAAATAATCAGTTATAGCTTTTTGTTTTTTATGAGCTATGGAAAATGCTATCAGAGTGTATAAAATGAGGCTATCTTAATTTTGAAATCAGAACATAAACAGTTTATTGTCTTAGGAACACTAGGAATTAAGGTTGGGAAAAATGTATTAGCTAAATACTAGACTTACAAGTTAGGCTTAAGATACTAAAATGAGCCAGGGGCAGTGGGACATTCCTACAGTTCCAGCAGTTCCAATCCGTGAGATGGAAGGACTGCAAATTCAAGGCTAACCTCCGCAATTTAGCAAAGCTAAGCAACTTAGTAAGACCCTGTCTCAAAATAAAAAATAATGGATGGGGATGTGGCTCAGAGTTGAAGCAGCTCTGGATTCAATCCCCAGTAACAAACAACTACAAAAGATACTAAAATGAGAATTAAGAATTCGAAATTATGATCTAATATTAGCCTTTTGCATTATGCTAATAGAGATCTATTAAGAGGTATGAAAATTAAGCTAAGAGGAACGTTGAACTACGTGGGGAAGAACAATTTGGAGTGTTATTTCCTAAGTCTACAATGATTAAGTGAGACCCCAATTTAAAAATGTATCTACAACAGTTAATAATATCAGGAAACAAAACTGTCTTAAGCAAAATTCCAATAGGGAGGAGAATGAAAGCAAATTATCTAACACGTAAACAGTGGTAGAAGAAGATTTTTAACCCTTTATTCTCTAAATTTTTTACAATAAACTCACACTATTAAAATCAGAAAAACTAGTATCAAACAAATTAATATGATATAGGCCAAATACCAGATTAAAAAAGAGTTTTGAAGATGTAAACTACCTGTAGTTCTTAATATGCTGATAGGAATATAAAATGCACAAGCACTTTAGAGAACTCTTGAGCTGCATTTACTGAAACTGACCATATTCTTAACCTGTAATTCAACAATTCTACATACATACATATATGTACATATTAAATATATATCCATCATTTACAGATCTCTGCATTGGTGACAACTTAGATCAGTCAAATTTGTTTGAGTAGCTATGCTGTGCTACAGGATGGGAAATGACATCTTTAGCCTCTACCTACTGGATGCCAGTAATACACTACCTCAGTTGTGACAACGAAATATCTTCAGACATGACCAAATATCCTCTGAAAGACATAATCAACCAATCCCCCCTAAGACTCATTGGTGTATACACGTCCAACAAAAACACATAAAGAGGACACCAAAAGACACATACAAGAATATACAGAGTGATGTTATTTACTAATATACAGCAGCTTAATATAGAAAAATAGGGCTGAGAATGTGGCTCAGAGGTTGAATGCTCCTGAGTTCAATCGCAGTTACCTGCCTCCCATTATAGCCTTAATTAGAAGAAAAATAATCAGTTATAGCTTTTTGTTTTTTATGAGCTATGGAAAATGCAATCAGAGTGTATAAAATGAGCTCTCTTAATTTTGAAATCAGAACATAAACAGTTTATTTTCTCTTATTAACAAAATAATTACAGGATACAATACCATATATCAATGAGAATAAACAACTTTGTATAACACAGATGCATAGGACAAACACACTGTTGAACAAAAGAAAACAGACACAAAGGTAGATACTACACAATTCTATCACATAAAGTTGAACAACTGGAAAAATTAATCTATGTGTTAGAAGTCATTTTAGGCATTTAATTCTTGGGAGAGAAGACAAGAGGACAGGAGAGACTATGAGGGGGGATTTTGGGTATTAGGAATCTTCTGGGTTTTTTTATTTGGACTCTCACACAGGAGTGTTAAACTTATGAAATTCAAAGAACTGGATACTTAAATGATTTATCTCTGTATTTTTCTGTTATTTTATACTTCAATAAAAAGTTAAAAAGAAAAAGTTTCTCAAGTACTGAAATGATTAGATAGTACTTTATAACACAATTTTTCTTCAAAATAGTTTAATATTTTAGTGTCTATCACTAATCAACTTTAGATATTCTGTAATCATATTCTTTTCACAAGAGAATATTTCTTATAATGTTCTATGACATACTTTTCTCAGACAAGTATGTATTGAAAGTATTCTCAGACATGACTGTATTTAAAAATTTACAGGAAAAAAATAACTTACATCTTCCATATATTCTGGTTCTGATGCAGAAGCATCCCAACGATTATTCAGTATGAAAATATTAGGCTTGGAAAGTCGTTCATTCACTTTGTGAAAAAAATGTTTCTCCTGGAAAACATTAAAAACAAACAGTAGGGCTGGAGTTATAGGTCAGTGGTAGTGTGCTTGTCTAGCACATGTGAGACACTGGGTTTGATCCTTAGCACCATATAAAAATAAAATAAAAATAAAAGTATTGTGTCCATCTACAAATAAAAATATTTTTAAAAAACAGTATATTCACTTTTAAATGATACTTTCTATTTGAAATTTTTACTTTAACTTGAACCATTTACTCAATAATGATTAACATCCACTGATAAAGGATCCCAAAACACCATATGCACATTAAATGTTTCAAAGATGAGAAAATTAACATATAAGGCAAAAGTGATAACTGCTATTGCTCCTGCCACGAGTCCTTTTGAAATTTAACTAATATTTATCAGACTCTACTACATGCAAGATATAATTGGAACTGTTGGATACAATAATCCATGCTCTCAAAAGCTACCTAAAATCTATTTTTTTTTTTTTTTTTTTGGTACTGGAGATTGAACTCAAGGGCACTCAGACACATCCCCAGCCCTATTTTGTATTTTTTATTTAGAGACAGGGTCTCACTGAGTTGTCTAGTGCCTTGCCTTGCTGAGGCTGGCTTTGAACTCATGATCCTCCTGTCTCAGCCTCCTGAGCTGCCCTAAAATCTTTTTTAAGAGTTATTAATGATAATGTAAACTACTTACATAAATCAAATCATAAACAGAGAAAGGTATAATCCACAAATACTATATCTAGTTCAAATTAAGAAGAACTCCATAAAGAAGGAAGTGGTGATAAAAGATGGCCTTGAAAGCACTATTAACAGAGACTGTTGAAAGATGGAAATTTCAGAGGTAGACAAATTATGGGTAAATAACAGTATAAATCCTAGGCGTGCATGGTGGCACACACCTACAATCCCAGCAACTTGGGAGGCTGAGGCAAGAGGATCACAAGTTCAAGGCCAGCCTCAAGAAGTTAGAGAGGCCTAAGTCACTTAGAGAGACCGTGTCTCAAAACGAAAAATAAAAAAGGCTGAGGATGACTCAGTAGTTAAGCACTGCTGGGTTCAATTCCTAATACCAAAAAAAAAAAAAAACAAAAACAAAAACCCCAAAAAAGAACAGCATAAATGTAGAATATAGTAGTGTACATGGTAACTCCAGCTACTCAGGGAATTGAGGTAGGAGAATCACAAGTTCAAGGCCACCTTGGGCAACTTAATAAGTCCCAGTCTCAACATAAAAACCCAAAAAAATAAAGGGCTGGAGATGTAATTCAGTGCTTATCTGGCATTTGCAACACCCTGCGTTCAGTCCTTCAGTCCCCAGTACAAAAAAAAACCCCATAAACAAAGGACCAAGAATCTTCAATACTGAACAACTTCTGTGTTTGTGGGAGAGATCTATAGACACAAGATAAGGTGACTAGGCTGGGAGTGTGGCTCACTGGGATAGCACTTGTACTTTCATAAACATCATGTGTAAGGTCCTTTGTTTAATCCCCAAAATCTAGACAGATATCCTGGATAATCTAAATTTAATAGCAATCTAAAGTGTATCCTGGTAAACTGGAACCTACAATATATACAGGTAAAGCTGAAAAAGGGTAACAAAACTGAAAATATGAAAAGCTTTGCCTGATAAATGGTAGAAAGTGGGAGTGGTTTGTGCTTTATGGTCCTATGGAAACACAAATGCTTTCATTCACCCAATTTTAGATTTCTTTCTAATACATGATTTGAATTTCACTCACTTTTTGGAATTAAAATGAATATAAATTAGTTGACTGACCCCAAACACAGTAATATGATTATATCCTACCGTGTTCATTAGTGTTGATTCCGAGTTTGCAACCAAAACAAAGACATCAGCATCTAGGCAAAACTTATCAATCCAGCTATCCAGTTCTGTTGTAACATCTGTGCCTGGACTAATAGGAATGAAATAAAGATTGAATTATATGAATTTTTTTAAAAAGAAAATTTAGGTTATACAATTTTGTTTAGACTTTCATGTTTTATTTGAAGCCTAAAGGACCATGATTGCTATGATTCCTAGGAAATTTTAATAGTAATTTTTGACAAAGCAAGTAATATGATCAATTTTTAAATCTTCTTAATGTTTATGTTCAAAAAGATTGAAAAATAAAATAAGTACTGAAAAACAAAACAAACTAGGCTAATAGATAATAAAAAAATGAGGCTCTAAGAGGTATATTGGGACAGCTCAGAGATTTAAGTGCTTTTAAAAGCACAAATAATAAAAAATAAAATACCCTCTGGTAGATATAAATTTAATATACCATCTATACTATAAAAATTACAGTGAAGGATTTGCCTGTTGTATATCTTGACTGGTGGGATTATGGATATAGTTCAGCTATGAAATAAAGCAAAATTGACTTAATATTATATTTAAAATATTTTGATTTCACAAGAATCTTCTCTCTTCTTTGAGTTATCCCACTGATTATGAGACACTTTTCCAATAAGAAAAGCCCATCATCAAAAACAAATGGTTTATATAAAACACTGAAATTTTAACTGAATAAAGAACACACCAAAATTTTTAAAAACATTAAATACCTTTCTTAGCTAATGATAGTGATAACTGATATGGATAATCATTTTATTAAGAATCAGTATAGTAGGATAATTTTTAAAACATCACAGGGACTGAGACATAGCTCAGTGGTAAAGCGCTTGCCACTTGCCTTCCATACATAAGGCCCTGGTCTCAAATCCCATACCACAAAATAAATTAATTTAAAAAATAAAAACTGTCATAAATGCAAATTAATCAAAGAGCACTGAAAAAAAAATCCAAAAGCATTCTACTAGCTCTTGAAAAACAAAAAGTTCTATGAGTTTTCCAATAAAGCTATTTTGGGTAACTGAAGAACCAAGTCACAGGCCGGGTGTGGTGGCTCACACCTGTAATCCCAGTGGCTTGGGAGGCTGAGGCAGGAGGATCATAAATTCAAAGCTAGCCTCAGCAATTTAATGAGGCCATCTTAAAATAAAAGAAAAAAGGGTTGGCGATGTGGCTCAGTGATTAAGTGGCCTTGAGTTCAATCCTTGGTACAAAAAAAAAAAAAAAAAAAAAAAAAAACCAAGTCTTGAGCTACGGATGTAGCTCAGGGGTAGAATGCTTGCCTAGCATGCACAAGGCCATGGGTTCAATTCCCCAGTAAGGCACATGCATGATACAAAAAGAATCAAGTCACTACAGCTAAGAAAAATATTTAAAGTTATTACCTCTATATATCTAGTTGTTACTCTAGATATCTAGAGTTAGACAATTTGTAACTTCCAATCATTTATCCAAACTATAAAATTGTCTTAAGGAACCCCCCCAAAATGACTATCTTTTAGAATTTCTTCTAATAAAATTAGACTATACAACTTGAAAACAGAAACCAACACTCTGAAATGAGACCAAGTAGCAACTGAACATTTGATGTTTTGTGTACCACATGCTATAAGCAGCATTATTTTATTAAATAAACATATACCCAGAGAAAAAACAGTTCATATGTAATTTTACCTGTCTACTAAAACCAAGTCATCTCTCAATAGGGCACATTTTGCCTTTGGCCAAAACACATGCACAAGACAGCCAGCTTTCAAGTCTTTGTCCATATGGAGGGCATGAGCCAGCTGATTAACTGTCTAAAGCAGGAGAGGAAATAAAAAAATTTTACTTGTAATAAAAACTTTTTAAAGATTTAAATATTCTGATTTGGCACAATATCATTTTTGCAAAAGACAGAACTTCAAATAATTTGAAATAAAAACATCTGAGCGATGTTAAGAAACCTCAGCTTTGAAATAATACAGTAGGGAAAAAATGGTTTCCTTCAAAAAGTTTACTCATACTATCTTACAAAATCATTATGGTTGGAAATATTCTAAGTGACCCAACAAATTGAACTCTAGCAATGGAATCCTATACAACTCCTAAAAGTGACACTGGTTTTACAAATCGTTATTTTGTAATCTTTGTTCTTTTGGCCTATTTGCATTCTCTGACTCTTCTAAAACCAATATGTATTGATGAGTATCAAAAAGAAATATGAGAAGAGATACTGTTATTAAAATAGTTTTAAAATCCCTATAGGAATAGTGGAAGCAATATAAAAAGTCAAATAATTTTTTTTTTTCCCTCAGTACTGGGGATTGAACCCAGGGGAGCTTTATCACTGAGCTAGATTGCACAGGCTAATAAAATTATGATAGCAAAAGTACCTATCTAACAGAATTGTGATGAAGTTTAAGTTATTATAAGTGCTTAAGATAAACACTCATAATAACTTAAACTTAAGTTCTAAACTACTATAGTACAAGAATCAAAGTTTATTTATATTGTAAAGCAAACTTCTACTTGAGGTTAACAAATTTAAATGTGGGAGTAGGGGAGAGGAGGAATAAAGCAATGAAGGAACAAAACTGGAAGTAGAGAACAAAGATCAGGAAAAAAGAAAATTTCTTTAAAATATCTCACCACATATTTTCCCTTGAGAATCTAAAGCTACAAATAAGTATGAATTATGGCTTGGTAAAAATCCTAATTACAAAATATTAGTGATTCCTGTACAGGTTAAAAGTTTGAAAAGTATTTTCATAAACATAATTTTTTCTCATAACAAAAGTGAAGGGTACAATCAGTCCAAGGAGGTAAACTAATATAGACCGTTATTCTAATACTAAGTCAAACAGCAAACCCATAGAACTAGACATATGACTTTACCTTCAGTTTAGCAAAACCTAAAATGGCAAGAATCTTCAATACTGAACTTCTGTGTTGGGAGAGATCTATAGACACAAGATAAGGTGACTAGGCTGGGAGTGTAGCTCACTGGGATAGCACTTGTACTTTCATAAACATCATGTGTAAGGCCCTACGTTTAATCTCCAAAGGTGGGGAAGGGTATCTAAAATGAGACACTGCCTTACCAATTCCTTTCAGCTCAGAGTTAACATCTTACAACCTAATTTCTACTTTATTCTTTTATTGGCGGAAGGAGTATGGTGACATTGAATTAGAAATTTGTGAAAGGCATTGTGTCCAACTACAACTAAATAAAAAAAAAAGGAAGAAATTTGTGAAAGGGCTGGGGATTAACTCAATGGTAGAACCTTTGCCTATCATGTGCAAGGTCAAGGAAGGAAGGGACTGAGGGAAGGAGAAATAAATCAATTTGTGAAAGCTAAGGAATTGTATTAGTCCTTATTTAATAAATCTATAACATTTATTTACAAATATGGCTAATAACTACTCCTAAAGTAAAACACAGTTAAGGACAGGTTTTATTCTTTCAATAATTTCACTCTGAAGCAAAAGACTTTTACAAGAACTAAAATATCAATGATGCCTTTAAAAGTTATGAATAAAAATATTAACAATACTTCCATCTTCAGCAATGTAGCCATCTTATACAATTTTAAAACTTCAAGGACACTGATGCTGGTATACCATGTTGCTAAGGGTTAAATACTATACCTTCACACTCTTTTTTTCATCTGATCCTTCTGTCATAAGATAAGCTTTATCTCCATCAGTTCCTTCAACACTTAGGAAGCAATTGGTTGTATGGCCAATCCCACTAGGGAGAACTTTGTCCCATAACATTGCATTGATAACAGAGCTCTTCCCACTGCTTGTTCTAAATATACAAAATCATGAAAAACAAAACATTAACAGTAAAAAAGTTAATTCTTTCACTAGGTTTCACACCAACTTTTTCAAAATTCCAATTTCATTGCAAGTTCATCAGATTGTATTTTTTGTTAAAAAAAAAGTTAACCTCACTTAAATATTAAGAATGTATATTTAAAGTAGGAGCAGAGAACAAACCCCACCTTTTTCATGTATCTATCCTTAATTTTTCTTTCTCAGTTCTTGTGGAAATTTCAAATCACAAGTCAAAATTCCGTAATACTCCTCCCATTATAAAAATGGGGTCTAATATCTTATCATCTTAAATCTGGGCTGATTTGTGACTGCTTCAACAAATAACACACGTCAGAAGTGACACTGGGTGACTTCCAAGGCAAGGCATAAAAGGCAATGAAGCTTCTGGCCTGTTCACTGGATCACATGCACTTGGAGCGTTGCCATGTAAGAAGTTCAATTACTCTGAATCTGCGGCACTACAAGGAAGTCAAGCTAAACAGAAAGGTCCAGCTAAATACTCTAATTGAAAGCCCTATTCTTCTACTCTTCTCAGGCAAGTACCAGATATGTGAGTAAAAAGATTTCAGATGATTCTAAAACTCAGTTGTTAAACCTCCTCCAAATCTTCATGAGGCTCCAGATACCATGGAACAAGGAAAGACAAGACATCCCTGCTGTGCCCTGTCTGAATTCTTGACTCAGAATCAGTGAACATAATAAAATGGTTATATTTAATTTGCTAAGTTTGGGATAATCTGTTATGCACTTATACTTCTGAAGACACTGAAACCCTAAGAACACCTCATACCACTTTCAGAGCTTGCTTTCCAATCAGCTCAAAACCCAGAAATTATTCAGAGCCTTTTGCTTCACTGCAAAAAACAGCATGTTTATGGTACATGCTTCACCTCTTTCTCCCAGTCTAAGAGTCATACTCTACTTGTGTTATGGATATTGCTCCTCACTTCCTCCCTAAGGAACCGCTTCATCTTAATTATCTCAACAGTGCTCCCATTGCCACTACATACATCTTACAATGATACAGATGACCTCTCTCAAAATTAATCCTTTTAATGACTGCATGAAGCTTTGCTGCAGTGATCCTCAAGAACAGTCTGGGTCCCCCCATCCCCATCAGAATCATCGGGTAAGCCCACTAATGATTCCTAAGATACACTGTAAACCTACAGAATCAGAGTCTGGTAGTGCTCCCAGAATGATTCTTATGAGCACTGAAACTGGAGACAACTGTCACCTTGTCTTCACAAACATTAAAGAAAAAAACAATTGTTGGGGGTGGGGGGGGGTCCTTCCCAAAGGCACCATGCAATTCTATAGCAGACACCAATGTTGTGTCCTTTAATTCATTTCTGACATTATCTGCCTAGAGATAGTGTCAGATCCTACAGGTCAAGAGCTTAATCTCCCAAGTCCATCCCCCAATTTAGATACCAAATTAAAAGTTCTAGATTATGGTCTGTGCTTCTGACCAAAAAAGTTTTAAGTTAGGGTTCCCATAAACCCACTTCCTGGGTCCAATAATTTGCTAGGACAGCTCCTGGAACTCAAGGAAGCACTTTACTTCATTTATTAAAAGGATATTATAAAGGACAGATGAATAGTCAGATGAAGAACTAGATAGGGCAAAGTAGGAGGGAAAGTATCCATTCCCTCTTGGGATGTTCAACACTGCCAACACTTTCAGCAATCTGGAACCTCATCAATCTGGATTCCGAGTTTTTAGGGAGCTTAATCTCCAGCCCCCAGCCACCCAACTTCCTGGAAGTTGGTATGTTGAGGCTAAAAGTTCCAAACTTCTTATTACTTAGTCTTTCTGATGACTGATCCCATCCTTCAGGTAGGCAGGGGCTCCACCCTAAGCCACTATATTAGCATAAACTCAGGTTTATTCATAAGAGGCTCATTCAAAATAAGAAAAGCTATTCTTACAACTCAGGAAATTCCAAGGGTTTTAGGAACTCTGTGACAGGACCAGGGTTCAAAGACCAAATATATTTCTGGCTATATCCAGGCAACACACACTTGTCATCCCAACTACTCAGGAAGTTGAGGCAGGAGGATTGCAAGTTCAAGGCCCGCCTCAGCAAATTAGGGAAACCCTGTCTCAAATTTTTAAAAATGAAAAGGTCTAGGGATGTAGCTTCATAGTACAGTGCCCCTGGGTTCAATCCCTGGTACCAGGAGGTAAATAGAGCAAATATTTTTGTTTACATTGTGTACCAATTCTTTTTTTTTTTTTTTAATATTTATTTTTTAGTTCTCGGCGGACACAACATCTTTGTTGGTATGTGGTGCTGAGGATCGAACCTGGGCCGCAGGCATGCCAGGCGAGCGCGCTACCGCTTAAGCCACATCCCCAGCCCCCCAATTCTAATTTTCTTTTTATCTGTCTAGAATCTCTGTTCATGAAAGGTTTCTCATCCTCTCCCTAATTCATTGTCTTTCCTTTTCAAGACACCACCCTTTTCATATTGAAAGCTAATACAGATGTTCCTCACCTTATGATGAGATTATACACGGATAAACCCATAGTAAATTGAAAATACCATGTTGTTGAAAATTCACTTAATGCATCTAACCTCTTCAACATTATAGTTTACCATCATATAGACTACAGTTGTTTTTATTTGTAATCATGGGGTTGATTTGGAGTTGTGGCTTGCTGCCACTATCCTGAGTCTGGAGAGTATTATTTCATACATCACTAGCCCAGGAAAAAATCAAAATTCAAAAGGTAATTGCAGCTGAGTACACACTGCTTTTGTACCACAAAGAAGACAGAAAAAAAAAAAAATCACTAATAGAACCATGGTAAATCAAGGACCAGCTGCTTGGACCTACCTATTTCTCCTTCTCAAGTAGTGCAGCTTGAGTCACTGCCTCTTCAGGAGGCTTCTTCCCACTCTTACTCCACCCTAATCTGAGGTACAACTTCTTTTATGGAGCCATCTCACTATCAAACTCTTGTTGCCAAGTGGAAGAAGCAGAAAATGAAAACACAAAATAATGGAACTTTGTAAAAAGCTTTGAAAGACACAAGCAGGGTGCTTCAAGAAAGAATGACTGAGGGGCTGGGATTGTAGCTCAAAAATAGAGGGCTCGCCTAGCACAGGCAGGACGCAGGTTCACTCCCCTCAGCACCACATAAAAATAAAGGCACTGTGTTGCGTCCATCTACACCTAAAAAATAAATGTTTTTAAAAAAAGAAAGAATGACTGAATGCCCGGTATAGTGACATACATCTGTAATCTCAGCAACTTGAAAGGCTGAGACAGGAAGATTTCAAGTTCCAGACCAGCCTCAGCAATTTAGCAAGGCCTTCTCTCAAAATAAAAAAATAAATAAAAAGGGCTGGAGAGGTGGCTCAGTGGTTAAGCATCACTCATTTCAATCCCATCAAAACAAAACAACAACAAAAAAAAGAATTGTGAAGGAATTTCTTTGACAGAGTAACAAGGGAAGGCTTCTGAAGTATTAATATTTAGGATGAAATCTGCAGAGTAATCTAGACAGAGGAAATTGCAAGTACAAAAGTCCTAGATGGAAAGTAGAAGACCTATGAGGTTAGTTCAGTAAATAAATGCTCCTACTGGTACTGAGGTAGGATAGAATAAAAGAAATAGAAGAGAAACAGAAAGGAAGGGCAAGGAAATAAAATTTTAATTCAGAAGTTCTGAATATTTTTCCAGGCCTCTCATTCACCAAGTCAATCTTTCTCCCAGGCTACCATTCCCAAATTTCTGGGAAATCTATAAATCTTAAATTTGTAAATCTTAACCATAAATTCACTTATGATAATTACCTTGTGCACTGTTAAACAGCCCACCAGATTAGCCAAAGAGACATAATATTTTGAAAAACTTATAATTTAGAGAAACTTTCCAACATTATATCTATTGATCAGATAATGAACACCACATTGACCTAAGGATTCTAAGAATGACCAAAACACCATAAGCGATCGAGCACTAGACTGTTATCATCCCTACATATCTTTCCATACCCACCACTAACAAAATTTCATATAAAAGAGCCAAGAACCCCAAAAGTGCATCTCTCACACTTCAGATGGCCCACATTCTCCTTTGAACATGTATCTGCATTCCTAAATAAATCTGTGTATGCCTCTGCCTGGTGTGTGCTGAAATTTTTTTTTTTTATCATTCTGGACCTAACTAGTTCTAAGCTGAGTTCCTGCTTCTGGGAGAGAAGGATCCTCAGGATCCTTCTCTTGAGACATCTCTTCTCCTGTGACAGGATAAAGCATGTTTGTGAAAAAAAGTATGGAGCTAGTTAGTCATTTGTCTTCGCACCTCTCATGCCTAACAGAATACACAATATACAGGGAGTTATTAATTTTATTTTCTTTTTAAGGTGTTACAAATCAACCCAGGGCCCTGAGTGTGCTAGGTGAGTGCTCTACTACCCAGCCCATTAACTGATTATTAAATTAATGTGTAGACTATGGCAGAGATTATTCTATCATTCCAGACAATTACACTGAGAAATTCCTTTACATTCTAATAGCTTTCAGATCTAACACAGGTACAAACTGTTGGGGTGTGTGGGAAGGGAGGGTTAATATAACTTGCTGAACATCAGACAAAGCTGGGGATATGACCAAGAAAAGCTGATTTCTAGAAACCTACCTTAGAAGAAATAATAAAGGATTACCTGCCAAAAAATGCCACTTTCATGTGTCTCCGAGACAGCACCTCACCAATGACAGAAAGCTTATTTTTACACCCCTGTATTTCCACCAAATCATCTTCAGTGGCTATTCGATCAAGTTCTGGATTCCTGTATGTTGCTGCAAAATTGAAATGATATTAGAAATACCATTCAGTGGAACACCTAAAACTATATATTTTAGCTTTGTTCTATATTAAAATATTTGAAAAATAAAAATGCTCATAGTCTAATGAGTATTTGGTAAAAGATCCATGCCCTGTTGCAATGGGTCATAAGAATACTTCCCAAAAGAATTTCAGACATTAAAAATTGCAAGAATTTATTATTCATCTAGATTTCAAAAATACAAAGCATCTACCTGACATAAAAATCCAATTCCAAAGAGAAAAACAAAAATCTAATAACCACCTGTTACTCTTCCAACTAACTGAAAGCTGAGAACCTGGGCCTACACATTAAGAAATAAGAGTTTAAACAAAAACCCTTCAGAAATTAAGATATGGTTCAGTTTCCAGGCTAAAAAAGACCTTGTAACCTTACCACTTCTTGTTCTGCTTCCTACAGGGATGGAGCAACACAATTAACTCAACATGAAAAGGCAGAGGAAAGAGAATTACAAGTTAAATCCCACTTCATAGCTTTAATGACACCTGCCCACTCTAGCTCAACCCTTCCTCTTCCTCTGCTCTTCCAAGCACCAGGGAGCTAGAAAAGCCTGGGTTTAAAAGCAGAACAACTTTTTCTACTTGTTTTATTTTAGGAGTAAGAGATAAACTGATATTTGCAATCTTATCAACTCTTTCTCCAAAGTAAAGACATTTGCCTATCTAAATGATCCTAATTAGAGACAAACAGTGCCACTTAAAACTTACTCAGTGCTTGTCTAACTAAATTTTCCATCTCATTTTACCTTTCTATACATTAATAAAAATATGTGCAATTTGGTAAATAGCACTGGCTAAAGTACTACTACACTTTTTCATTTTACTTTTGTTGTTCCTGATCTGTCTTTTTTGCAACACTTTTTTCTGAGGTTCTAGAACCAGTAAAAATGAATTCAGATTCAAATCTTGCCCTTTTCACTAACTCAATTTATTAGACTCATCACAGATTACTTTTAACCTCATTGTCACTTTCTATCAACATTTTTAGGAAAAAAAACTTAAAGTCACTGTGCAAAACAAAAAAAAGAAGTCACTGTGCCAGCTCAAATTCTTTCCAAATTAGAAACATAAAGATACTATACCAGTAATTTTTTCCTCCTCATTCAACAATAGAACTTGAACTGTGTCAACTTGGTGCTAGTGACAAAGTGAGATAGAGATGAAGAGATTTGAGCTCAAAATCTGGTGAGGGAGGGTTAGGAGAATAAGGCAGAAAAAGGTATGATTCTATCAACCTAACAAATGTTTCCCCATGTCATCAGAGTACTTTATATAATAATTCCCCCCTTTCATTGTATACTTAATAGACACACAATCTTAAAAGCTAGAAGAATTTCAATAGTTATTTCTAAATTAGTATATCCTGTAAAGACATTCCTTACCATCTTTGCCTGAACAGTTATAAGGAATTTTATGAAAATTAGCCAAGGGCAGTGGGGCACATCTACATCTATAATCCCAGCAACCTGGAAGACTGAGGCAGGAAGATTCCAAGTTTGAGGCCAGCCTTAACAAGTTAGCAAGACCCCATCTCAAAAATTAAAAGGGCTGGACTGTAACTCAATAGTAAATTGTCCCTGAGTTCAAATTCCCAGTACCATGAAAAGAATGAGAAGAAAATTAAATTTTATGAAAACTCCTTTTACCCTTTCTGCACTGTAACTTTGCCTTATGTAAGAGGAAAATTTAGGGCCTGAGGTCTTGGTTTAATTAAGTTGGGAAAGAAAATAAGTATAATGACTGTGGACTGCCTATTTTTCACTAGGCACTAAGGGCTGTGTAGTCTTGGGCAAACTGCTTAATTTTGCTGTGCCTTGGTTTCCTTAACTTCAAAATGAGTATGATTATAACCACCTTAGTGGTGATATGAGGACTGAAGAAGTTATTAATATAATAAAGTGCCTAGAATAAATAGTACTTTACATATAAGCACTTATTCCTTAACTGTTAATACTATTTAATTTTCTGGAGAGCAGAAATGGGTTTTATTAATTACGGACTCCCTCAAAGTATACAGAACAATGTCCAAAATGAGTTTAATAACTAGAGTTGAAATAATAAAGTACCTTTACATATTTTTAACAGTAATCATTTTAAGAACTTAAGAGGAACTAACCTTCAACAAAATGTGATCCTTCAGTAACAAACTCCAGTAACTGGGCAAATATTGAAGTAATTGCCTTCTTAGCCAGCACAAAGTGCTTCAGTGGAGAAGCCGATTCTGCCATTATGTTACTAAAGGAAGAAATAAAGTTATAAAAGCGGTACTTAGTACTGGTACTGACCTATGGGCCCAGCTACCTGGATGGCAGAGGTGGATATATCAATTGCACCCAGGAGCCTGGGCAACACAAAGACCTTGTCTGGGGGGGGGGGGAAGCACTGATCAAAACTGTATAATAATGACATTCACATTCTGACATCATTCCTTAACTCCCAGATGAAATAAATTAAAACTGCCAAAATACTTTTAGGTAATTGTTTTTTGAGCAGAAAGCGTTTTAGCGTTTTAGTCAGAAATTACAGGCTACATTTGAGCGATATCTCACTAAAATAGATGAACTCTATTGGCCAAAGTCTTGGTTGCAATTTCTACTTTATTTCCCTTTGGAGAAGATGAAACTAACCGTGGCTAAATCGTGACTGCACGTGACTCAAGTGCATCAGGGAATTGGGATAGTAAGAGGAAGCCAAGTTCCCAACAATAACTAAGTTATTAAGTTTCCCAACCAGAGCTTTAGGTGAGAGGAGGGAAATAAAATCCCAAGATCACAAAGCAGTGCTGACGTTCAGAAGTATTTGATCAGAACAAACAAGAAGACAAGTCTTAACGGAGTCTCGTGCTCCCAGCCGAAGTACCAAAAAAACTTCAAGGAATGTACATTTTTTTTTTTTTTAAATTTCCTCCCTGGAAGCTTCTTACGAAAAAAACTCCAATCACTGCTCACTTTGTTCGTGGCGTGTGCGTGGAATGGACCACGGTGGCCCAAAGAAGCCGGATCCTTCCAGAGGGTCACGAAATGAGCGCACCACGGAGCTGCGTGGGAAAGCAGGGCGGGGACGTCCACGGGCTCCGCGGCGCGAACACCTACCTTGGGGAAAGGCCTTCCATGTCTGACACCGCGGGCGCGGGTGCCTAGCTCGCAGGTTCAGGGCCAGACCCCGCACGCCCCGCGCGCCGGACGCGGCCCGGAACCCCCTAGCTGTCCCGGGGCTCGGCCTCGTGTGCCCCGCCGGACCCCAGTTCCCTCGCTCTTTCCCCGAAGGACCTGCGGCGGCGGCCGAGCCCCGTCACAGAGAGCTCGGCCAACAATTAACTCTCCGCCCCTTGTCCCTGGCCGCTCGAAGGTCACCCCAAGTGTCGTGAACCAACCACCAGTCTAGGCAGCGGGCACTCACATTCCAGCTCTTAAACTTGTCACCCGGCAACCGCAGCTCCGCCACAGCCCCCAGGCTGCCTCATCCTCCCTATAGAGGCTGGACGGCGAGGGGAGGCGGGAGGAGGGGCAAAGGGCGGTTACTTCCGGTCTCTGGCCCTCTCCTATTATGTTGGGATCCGTGGCCGGAAACGCATCTACATGGGGCGCCATTTCTCTTAAGGGCAGAAGACAAGGGTTGTTGTGGGCAGGGACTTCTCTCAGAAGTGTGCTTTTCCTTCTTCCTCCCTCAATGTCTGCCAAGCTCTGCCCAGCCTAGGTGTGGCTAGCTTCCCGTGACTATTCAGAAACAACTGAAAAAAGTGGGGGTCTTAACTGAGTGAGCAGAGGGATTTATGTTTGGCAGGCCAACAACAAAAGGAAAACCTTTTGACCTCTCCACTACTGTTTTTGTGTGATTTACTACCTGCTTTTCCAATAATGGGAGAGTGTGTGTGTGTGTGTGTGTGTGTGTGTGTGTGTGAGAGAGAGAGAGAGAGAGAGAGAGAGAGAGAGAAATTAAAGGTGAGATTTAGGAATATGACGTTGATAGCACCAATTATCAGTGGCTAATCGTGCTTCCCCATATGTTGAAGTTTGAACATTAGAGAAGCATGCAGAGGCAAGCATATGAAGCAGGGTTTATTTGAAAAGGGTTTATAAACAGTTTCATCGGCTCCAAAGGGAAATAGATAGACTTCTCCTAGAGAGAGAAGGGGGGCCATAGCTGGTATCCTGGTATCCCAAGAAGCCAGGTGTCCTACCCTTTTTATATGTCCTAGGATTCCTTTGTTCTCCTACCTTTCCCCCCCATATCTTTCTCCTTCCTGTGTATGTGACTAGGCCCAGGAATGCTCAGTGGGATGGCTAAAAGGTGGGAAGGGCCAGGTGGTGTAGCCAAGGACACATTAACAAGCTTATAGGTCCCCGTGGGGGAAGGGAAACTCCTGGGACAGGTTATCTTGGCAACAGGTTGGAGCAGGGGTCGGTTCTTGATGAAACAGGGAACAGTCTCCAACTTCCCAGACTCACTCAAAATTGGCCTCCTAGATCCAACCTGACTCACTGACTACCTGTCTAATTCTGGCTTCAACATTCTTTAGACTAGTGATTCTTAAACATTAGGAATTGAAAAACCAGCCTCTACCTCAGAGCAAAGCCTGTCCAAGGAAGGGAAGGGACATGACCTTTGTCCTTGGAAAGACCCACAGAGCACTCCTAGGAACATTCCCACCCTGCTAAATTGTTTATCTACAAATAAGAGGAGAGATCTGCTGCACCAGGTGTCCTTCAGTCAGGCTAGGTGGGGACCCATAGCAACCCCCTAGCAGCCACCAATCAGCATGAGACAGGGAAATACCTGGGTTGCCAGATGACCCTCCCAGTAGTTTATGGTGTTGGGAAACCATGTAGTTCAGCAGGCTTAAACCCTCTTGGCTTAAACCAATCAGTTCAAATGATTCCCCCTCTTGTAGAAACCAATCACACCTACCCAACTTGTTCCCGCCAGTGAATGTGCTAATCATGTTTTAGAGTTGTTATTTGATTTTCACGTGGTGTGTGATGATTTGCTAGGAGATGCTATGATGTATGTGGGGGTCCCTGCCTTCTCCAAAAAATGTATAAAACTGCTGCAAACCCTGGGCTCAGAGCCTCTCAGCGTCACCAGTTGCGGTGTGCGGCGAAGGACCGAGCTAGCTCAAAATAAACACCTCTTGGCTGTTTAAATCGATCTTGGACTCTGGTGGTCTTTTGGGGGTCCCGAATTTGAATATAACAGAATCACCAGGGAATTAAATTGCCGGTTTTTATCCACTGGGTCAGAGTGTACCCTGACAGTGCATTTCTCACATCCATGGAAAGTGACTGCTGCTGGTGGTCTATACAGTGACTCAACAGAGAGTCGTGGGTATTTCGTTCCAGAGTTGGCAAATGAGATGCAAGTGAAGGCACTTAATCTGTCTGGATCACAGGCATTTCATCTATAAAATCAGAATACTGATAACACCTACTTCATGTGTTGTGATTTTCAGATTAGAGTACTGATGGGCATACAATAAGAACAAGATAAACATTGTTCTATTGGAACCAATAAAAAATATTGTTCTATTGGAACAGATTTATCAATAAACAAAATAACAGTAAATTAGATCATTTCAGATAATGCTTACTACTCTGAAGAAAAAAAAATCCCCAGTGGCAGTGAGATTGACTTTCTGAAGAAAAATGAGAAAGAGGCTGAATTCTTACTAAGGAAGTAACATTTCCCAGGAACTTTTCCCCAGGAAGCCAATCCTAGAAATATCTGAAGGAGGAATGCCCAAAATAGTTAGAACAGGAAGTTCAAAGACTCATAGGAAGGACAGTGGTGTGGCTGATGAAAAGAAAGGAGGCTAGTATGGTTGGGGTAGAGGGAAGGAAAATGAAAGTGAGGGAAATAAGTTTAGGGAAGTAGGCAGATGTGGAATCCTAGAGGTTGAGATTAGAATTTTGCATTTTCTTGTAAATGCAACATCAAGCAGTTGGAAAATTTGGAGCCCAGGTCTGATTTACATTTTAGAAGGACATTTCAGTCACTGTGGGCACTACTCATGGAGAGATTCCACACAGTCTATTTGAGGGCTTTTGTAGCTTATGGTTGCTTTTGCAGTGCTGAGGATCAAATCCAGGGTCTTGTGCATACTAGTGAGCTACATCCTCAGACTTATATACTGTTTATTAAACAGGCTAGTCCATTGGCTAGAATTACAGATATATGGTAAAAGGTGGCTTTTATTAGTAGTAACATAGTAAAACCCTAGGTGTGATTTTTAAAATAAACTGGAATCATTTGGTTCACGGTATTTTAAACATTTACTAATTTTCTCCTCTCCCTGTCCACTCTCCCCACACAAAAATCATATGCACACAAAGAACATGTTAATTATTTCTGCTAAAAATCTTTAAAAATGTTAAAGAAAAAGAAAAAGAGCTGGACACAGTGATGCATGTGTGTGATCCCAGCAGCTAAGGAGGCTGAGGCATGAGGATTTCAAGTCCAAAGCCAGTCTCAGCAACTTGTGAGGCCTTAAGAAACTTAGAGAGACTCTGTCTCAAAATTAAAAAAAAAATGAAAAAGGGCTGGTGATATGACTCAGTGGTTAAGCACTCCTGAGTTAAAGAGAAAAAGAAAGAGCTGGGGATGTGGCTCAAGTGGTAGCGTGCTCACCTGGCATGAGTGCAGCCCAGGTGCGATCCTCAGCACCACATACATACAAAGATGTTGTGCCTGCTAAAAACTAAAAAATAAAGATTAAAACTTCTCTCTCTCTCTCTCTCTCTCTCTCTCT